AATAAATAAATAAATATATATATATATATATGTATAGAAATGATGTTGTTTTTCTATCGTTATTATTTTAAAATTTGAAAATTGCATTTAAATTCATGTACTTATCTACTTTTGATTTATATATTAATTATTTGAAATATCCATAAATATCATTTGATATGATTACAGCTATATATATTGAATGGGAATCGATTCGTTTGCAAGCATGATTATCTTACTAATCCTGGCAAGTTTATTTTATATATATTTATATGTAAACCTTTTTTTCTTTTTAAATTTAATATTGTTAAGAAAAAGAAAACAAAACATGAATGAATAGCAAATACAAAATTTTGATAGAAGTGAAACAAAAAAAAACAAAGAAGAAAAAAAGGAAAAAATGATATCAAATTTGGCAATGTTGATTTGTTTAAATAAAATTTGAAATGAAAAAATAATATTTTTAAATGGATGAATTTCTTTTTATTCAAATATTTGATAAATGAATTTTTACGAGTTAAAAATTATAAATATAAGTATAAATACAAGTGTAAATATAACATGAAAACATAAATGAATTAACAGATAAATAAATAAACAAATAAATAAATCAATCAATAAGTAGGTATATGTAATTTCTGGAATGATTTTAAAAATTTCATGATTTAAAAAAATGACATAATAAGCTAGGAACGATTGAATTACAGAGAAATGACGACGAAATTTAAATCATCTTGCAAATCATCTATTTAAATGTGTTTAATATTTTGTTGATTTACTTAATCTACTTATAATCGAATATTTAGAATTAAATAAGATAATGAATAATATTCGGATATTTTTTATTTTAATTTTAGTAACTGATTTTTTTCTTTTTCTTTTCCTTTTGTGATCTTCCGATGATAATTAATTTTGAAATAAATTAATAATTATTTCATTTCTTTATTTCTTTATCTGTTAATAATCCTTTTCTTTTTTAATCTCAAGTTACTTTTCAAATTTACGCCAACAATAGTTTTCATTCTTTTCCGATACTTTTATGCGGAAGCGATATGAATATTAAGCCTTCTTCCGGTGATGAAATTTTGTATTTTCAATTCTATTTCGGTAATTTTATCTGTCCACACTTAACTTAATCAGATTACTTAAAGTGTCCTGAAGTGGGTTAGTGTCCCGGTTATTGCTATTACTATACTAAAGCTTTAATCCACTCATTCAATCATTCATTCATTCATTCATCCATTCTTTTATGTTTTATCGCTTCATTGCATTTCTGATAAGTCGCATCATTTGTCACCAAAATCTTACTTCTCAATCTCTTTTTTTTTTATTTTTTTTAACCCCACATGACATGTCATTCGTTCTTGTTTAGCTTAATTCTAATGATAACCACTTACTTACCCAACCACTTCATTTCCCACTTCATCGAAATTTTCAACAACCTATCCTTTCATCCATCCGCTAATAATATCCATGCAAAATAGTGAAATAACAACATATTTGATGATAAAAATATGCATGAATGAACTTTATGTCAATGATATCTTTTCAAATTCTCTCATCAATAATTATTTCAAGAATTTCGAAATAATTAAATTTTATCAAAAAGAAAATATGCACTATAATAAATGTAATGGTCATTTAATATAAAAAATTAATATTTTGTAAAACTGAAAAATTAATATTTCACTAAAAATTCATTTAATAAAATATAATTTATATTTTAATAAATGTTTCAATTTAATAAAATAAACTTGAACTATTCATGCAATTACAATAATATGTCGCAATGCACTTTTAATGAATAATTATATAATTACAAATAAATTAATCAATGAAATGAGTAAGATAAAGTATATAAAAAAAAGGAAAATTTCAGGTTTTTTTTCTTTTAATATTTCAAGTGAATTAATTTAAACATGCAATGATTGCAATTTTTATTTCAAACTTTTGGAGCAAACGAAA